TGTTTGTGGGTGATGAAGTGGAGGTAGTTTATAATGAAAGAGAAATTTATTATAGCATGTAAGAAGGTCTATAGTTCTAAGTGTTTCTGTTACTTGAGTGATTATTTCATGAGAGAAGTGGTTTGTATATGGTAATCTTCACTGTTGTATTCTTCTTCTGATATTACTTCATATGATGAGTATGATGAGTCAAAGAGTTGATCGATGTTGGTGTTTAGTGTAGTATGTGGATCATAGGGTTTAGAGATGTTGGAGATAATACCACATAAGAATAGTCTTCTACGTCAGTCACCGTATATCTGGCTTGCACGGTTCCGCAAGGGTTAGCAACAATCAGGTTGGACATTAGAGAGTTGTTTGATTCTATCTCTTCTGTGTAAATGGGCTTAACCACCTGCCCACTTACATCATTTTCCTCTCTAACTACAAGGAATGTATCTTTTAGAGAGGTGGTGGATTATCTTTTTGGTTCAAAAGAGAGTTTATAGAATGAAAATATAATTTTAAATAACTTTTTTTTTTAACCTTTACCTACTGTATATATTATATTAGGATGAAGTTCATCTTATTGTTATCGTTACCTTGTACAGTATGTAATAGCCAAATTTAATCAATTAGTTAATTTGTATTTAACCAATTCTGATTGGTCAAAAATATATGTAACAATTTTTTTATATATTGGGAGCACCAAAAAAAAAAGTCTATTTTAGAATCGTTAAAAATGTATAAGACAGATTTTTTCAAAGTTATTATTTGTTTAATAATAAATAGTGCTTAAAAATAATCATATAAAAGAACGAACCGAATAGCCTGGAAATAGCGAAAAAGTGTCTAAAAATGATAGTAGTCTATAAATATTATTTATTTCTGGTTCGTATTTATACTTTTATACTATTTCTTCTAAATTTCAGATTCGGGCTAATTCAGTAAAAAACGAAAGAGGTTTTGTAGATTGATTTTGTTCACTTTGTATATATGTCCGGCATTTGGCCACTGTATACAGTACCTGGGGTTTTATTCAAGAACTCCATTTTTTAAAATTGAATAGTACCCATAGATACTGTATACTATATTTGGGGAAATATTATGTTAAAAGTAGTAAATCAATGTAGTTATCCCTGGTCTTATTCAAGAAACAGGCTGATAGGGATAGTGAATAATACCCGGGTATTAATCATGGGGTATTATTTTTGGGATACTGCCACCGGTACTAAATGACTTTTTTCATACTTATGATTATTTTTCAGTATTACGTGAATGTATAGGATTTTTGCTAGAAAAGTCTGAATCATATGATTTATGTCTTGATCTTGATTATCCAAATAAAGATCTATGTTAATTTTTTTTCTCTATTTGCTGCTTGTTAAAATGTGTGTTTATTACCCTATAGTTAGGGATGTTAACCTACTATGTTTCAAGTGCTATGTGACAAGAAAAATTATTTCGTCAAATCAGGTACTGTTATATTTTTGAAAAGAACTAATTAATGTTTAATATGTGTTTCTCGTATTAATTTCTTTTTTTTTAACACAAAAATCTAGGTCTATGAATCGACTTTGAGTTTTCATTTGTGCTTAAAAACATATCTAAAAAAAAAAAAAATAGTGACTTTGCAAAAATACTCAATCATGATAAAATTAAGTTTTCACAGAATAGAAAGGATAATGAATAGTGCGTTACTATTATTTTATATTATATTCTTGATGATAATATAGTTTTTAATTATATGATTTATTCCATAGATGTGCCTAAAGTCAAGAATGAATATATGCATTCAAATGTTATCAAAAATTTGCCAAGATGGGTCATTCTAGTAAAAATTTCAGTCTTGGCCATTGCTATAAAAATGGAATTGGAGATGGTAAGGATAAGGATGAGACATGGAGATAGGTAATGCTAATAAAATTAGTAGTGGATCCAGTTTAAGAAAAATCCAGATATCAAAATATAATTTATAATTAAATTAAATAAATTAATTTATGATTAAATTAAATGAATTAATTATAACTTTTTCTTTTATAATTGAGCATCAAACTAAATTAGTATCGTGATTATTAGAATTAATCGATTAGTTGATCGAGTTAGCAACTAATTGATTAATTATTGCAAAACAATATTAATCAATTGACCAACTAATCAACTAATTGATTAATCGATTTCTAACTAATTGATTAATTGATTTCGATTAATCAATTAGTTGACTATATGTCGGTATATATCTATGAATATATCAGATATATTAACTATTCGAAAGCACTAATATATACTTAGTGTGGGTTGGAAAACTCAAATAATTAGCAAAGGTGCTTGCAAGAATATCACGGTAATTTCTTTGAACCTTTATTAAGCTCAGATATCTGTATCATGTTTAGCTCAATAATTATATCAAATATTGGATTCAATTTTTATTTATTAAATTAAATAAGATCGTACATTTTACTTTTTCAATTTGAAAATAAGTTAAGATGTTTAAAATAAAACTAATAAAATTCTCAAGAGCGATTCATAAAGGTTTTCAAAATAAATAAGATTATTGCACAATATTTTTAATTAAATAAATTCTGATACCACATAGGGTCTTTGCCTTGAAAATGACTTTATAGTATCATAAGGTTATTTATAAGGCAAAGACCCCACATGATTTTGTTAGAGAATTTTTATTAATATAAATTATAAGTTCATTTAAAATAACAGAATTTGAATTGATCAAATACTTTCATTATAATTGTTATAAATTTAAAAGACAAATGTGCCACTATGTTCTTCCTTTCTAATCTAAAAATATTTTAACAAAGAATTAAAAAAGTTAGTATAGAGTTATTGCCTATCTAATTTCATTACTACTAAAATCCAAAGAAGTCAGCACAGTGTTCTTGCAAAATCAATGATTTTCTCCAAGATGCTTCTGCTATGTAGAGTGGTCAGCTAACGCTCTTCTCTTTTTGGTTCAATTTTATTTGTTTCAAGAACCAAAGAAATCAATGTGAAGATCTTGCAGAGTACAACCGCTAGCTTTTTCTGCTTCAGAACTAATCTAATTAGCATTATGGTTGGTATTTTTGAAAGTGTTTTTATTAATATATTTTTACCTTCTGATTATTGCCAACATGTAGAAAAGTCAGCACACAGTACCTTGTTAACACTTTTCCTCCCTATGATTCAATTCAATTATCACCAAAATTTGAGGTATTCTTACAAAGTACATTAGCTAACATTTTCCTCTTTCTGATTCAATTTTATTTTAAAGAGATCAATATGGAGTTCTTATATAGTGTAATCGCAAAGCTTTTCTGTTTCAAATTCACTTTACTTAGTATTAAGATAGTCATAATGGTAATAATTATTAAACTTTTGGGTCCATCACCAGGATTTAAAGAAGTCAGTACAACGTTTTTTCTCTTTCTGGTTTAGTTTAATTTCTTTCAAGGATCCAAGAAATCAACCTAAAGTTTTTGTAGAATGCAACTACTATCGTTCTGATCCAAGATATTACTGCCAGGATCTAAAAGAATCATAGTAGTACTTTTGCAATATGAATCTGCTAACGTTTTCCTTTCTTAGATCTAAGTTTGTTTCGACTATGAACTAGCTTTTTTTCAGCAAGAGCGCGATGTTATTAAATCCTACAATAAAGTACTTAAAAGTTAAAATGTTAGCACTTAAAATGCAAACATTATTTAAAAATTCTTAAGTTTTTAAGTTTCATGTATCTTTTTAAGAAGGGTTAATCCCGAAATGTTTATTTCTCTATCAATGCACATGTAGAATTTTTTTACCCTTGGCTACACAGATTTTAATAATTCTTAATAGAGTTATTAAAGTAAGATATTTTATATTTTACAATCAGGTTGGGTAGTAATAATAAGACTACTATATTTTGGCTTTATTTGGAGGTGTAGTTTTTAGAATTCTAAATATTATTGTTTTCTGTTTTACATATTTGAACATTCTATATAACTTCATGTTATATACATAAATAGTATTTTAAAAATTGATACACAAAATTATAACACAAAGTCGTTCTAAAAAAGTCAAAATACAGAAATATGTAACAGGAACAATGTTACAATGTTACACATATATAAGTAATTAAATTATTCATTTGCCTACTCGCATTTCTTTCAAGTATTCTAGTCAACTATTAATACTCTATCTGCAATCAAATTTTCTTGAACTTGTACTTGCTGAGGATAGAAATCTTTCTGTATCGCTTCTTTATCCACCTGCATAGTTTCACTACTTTCATAATCTTGAATATCTAAAGCAGGCTCTTTAGATAAGTTGGTTTTTTTACATTTTTTAGTATAGATTTTCAAAGATCCTTTTAAAGCATAATATCAATTACAATAAGAGCAGAGGTATTCATTAATTGATTTATTGACGGTTGAGCAATACTAATCGAAGGGAAAATACTTTAGATCTGTGCCTGGAGGAGTTAACTTTCCTTCCATTAATACAGAGAGAAGTAAGCCACCAAAGTGAGTTGTATTATCGGATATGCCCATGCTTGCTGTACAAATACTATGAAGCTTCTGTTGGAGCAGAAGTGGTGGTGGGAAAAAGCGATTTGGAAGGACCTGTTTGATTCCGCTGCAAAAAGGTTTATAGCAGCTTGAATCATCATACTTTATGACTTGAGTCATATAATGACAAGTTATTACATGTTTTTCCATCCAAGCTGCTGATTTTTCATTTGGGCAGTAGGATTCTTCAGAAGGTTCTATATACTTAACAAGTACCGGATAACCATCGATAATTGTATTCTCCCACACTGATATTAAAACATCTCTGGCCACTTTGAAATTGTATTTTTCCAATTCCTCATCACTTGTCTTTAACTGTGCATCCAAATTTGATTCAAAGGTATCATGTAGGAGGATTATACCAGCTAAGTCATAGCTTAAGGGTGCCATTTGTCTTTCTACTGGGTTAAATGCACTCTGGTGTGATGCATAACATACCATAATGATGGTATCAAGATTATATTTAATAAAGTGATCTACTATTATCTGAACTGTTTTTCTATAGCATGGATTCTCGTCGGGTCCACCATCACTTATCATTACCACTACAGGTTTAGGCTAGCCGTCAGTAATAGTAAAGTTGTGTAATTTCTCCTCAACCATCAGATCATCAAAGTCTTTGCCATGAGAGTAAGCAGTACTACTATCATGTTTGCTGCTACGAATTTTTATAAACATTGGACCTGAATATGTTACTGCTTCAGCTTGTCTATATTTATCTTCTTGTATGTCTAATACTGTATAAACTGAAGGGATCAGTTTATGCCTTTCAGCAACAACCCAATAATGATCTGGCAATTCTACTCGGTATTCCAACTTCATAAGAATCGGTACTATATGAATTAATTAATTATTATTTTTTTTTTATTTTTTTTTTTTATTACTTCAGCAAGTCTAGACGTGACTTGGTCCAGCTATCTTTATAGTTGACCCTATGCTACTCGTGTCACAGGACCTCCATAATCTCTATACGGGAATCATGTGTATCCACCTGGAATCCATTGCCCGCTATTTCTCCGGTTCCCTCATTGGGGCCTAGATTCGACTGCCTGCACGACACTCCGGAGAGGTCGAAACACCTTATTAGACTAGGATTTCATCAGCCAATCCGGTGGCGCCACGAGTTCTTGTAGTATCTTCTCAGACTTTGGCCTCACAGTACGTCTCATGACTTCGGTTATTCCAAATCGGGGTTCTAACATGCCTCGCTTCATAGCCACAACTTCTCGGAATAACTATTTCCCAAATACGTCTATCCATAGATGTCCCGAGTTCCCTGTACCCCACGGTGTTTCACTTCTATATTTGGGTTTTCATCATTTCGCCACTAGGAGGAATTGAACCGGCAACTGTCCGATTTACAACCTGGGAGCATAATTGCTATGCTATTGACCCGCAGGTCAATAGGATTTTATTTAGTATAGATGGGAATATATAAATATTATAAGATTATTTAATATAAAAAAACTAACCCTAACTCAAAGCTAACTATAAACTATATTATAGCTCTCACTCTAACTCTAACTGTTCTCAAATTTAGTTCAAATAATTATTTTTATATTAAATAATCTTATAATATTTATATATTTCTACCTATACTACTATAAATATCAACCTATAAACTTCTGTTTATGTATAGCATGAAATCACTTATCATCATTGTGTCTATTACAATTTGTACAAGGTTTATACAATTGATTAGAATATTTATTATTTGAATAAATATATAAAGGAGGTATTATAACAAAGAGGATATTATGATGAATCAGAATTATCTTATGTTTTCATAATCAGAACCAGATGAAATTTACATAATTCGTTTTCTTTCATCAAGAGGAATCAGATAGTGTAAATTTCATCTGATTCTGATTATGAGATCATGAGATAATTCTGATTCACCATAATACTCTCTTCATCATAATATCTAGAATACTATAGTTAAAATTATTATGATGAATCAGGATATCTTATAATCATGCAATCAAAATTGGATAGAATCTATACCATTTGATTCCTCTTAATGAGAAGAGTCAAATGGTACAAATTTCATCTGATTCTGATCACGAGGCTATGAGATAATCCCGATTTGGTATAATACCTTATAGCTAAAATTTTTTATTTTTTAAAAAATATTTCAACTCTAAGTATTTCATGATATAGTAATTAGAATTAAATGATTTTGGTATCATTTGACTTGACTCGATGAGACGAATTAGATGATACCAAAATTGTTTGATTTTAATTAATACATCTTATTATACAATCAAAATATTTAACTTTGTCATAATACCTCCCACTCTCTTATAAATTATTAGATAGCAATATGTAATTTGGTATATAAGTTTATACTGTATCGGCCAAATCCTTAATGGATAGCATTTCACCTTTTGTACTACCTGTAGTGCAGTATACCAAAATGCATTAAAAATCTAAAAAATTATAAATCCAAAAAATTTTTATATACAAAAATTTGATAAATACTCTAGTTTCATTTGGCAAAATTTTTTAGTAAAGTTGTTGAAATAAAAAATATTTTTTAACTGCTATTTTTTTGCAAATTTTAATGTAATACACTATTTAAAGCAATTTTATTCTTAAAATTATCAAATAATTTTATAAAATAAATTTGAATTATATAAAAAAGATTTAGAACTTATTATAGTTAAAACATTATTACTAGTTATATAATAAAAAATATAACTTGTATTATAAACTTTGTATTACAATATTACTATTTTTAATAATTTATATAAGCTCTTTGATTTTTAGCTATAGTTAAAAAATTTTTTTTATTAAAAAAATTTTTTAAATTTTTTAATAAAAGTTGTAAATAATAACTATTTAATTTTAATTAGAAAATATAATAGATAGTAAATTAATTTATCTTAAATTATATTACTTTAAATTTTAAAAAAAATCATATCTATTTTTTAATATAGTTTATATAATCTTTGTATAGTACTTACTAGTAAAAACTTTAAAGTTAAATTATTTTTTATATATTAGTCTAATATTAAAAAAATTTTTATAATTAAAATTAGCAAACTTATCTTAACAATTTTTATAAATTTTTAAATAAATTTATTAATAAAAAAAAATTTTTTATAATAGCTAATAAATACTATATAAAAATAGTTTAAACTAAAATATTCAACCTAAAAAAAAAATTCTAAAAAATCAGAAATGCTATTTAGAACTAATAACTATTGTGGTCTGCAAAGCCAAATACCTAACAAACTATTTAAAGTTGTTTAAAATATAATTAAAATTTTAAAATTACTGAATAATTGCTTTTGAAAAGTGTCAACATGTAATACAATATACTATCGATAGTACACTGAAATGCTATCCATTAATATGTATGTGCACAGGATGAGTTCAATTAGGCTATAGCCGGCTAGCTGACCGGCTATAGCCATAGTTGATAATAGTCAACTAGATTGGCTTAGCTAACTGGCTAGCTGATACCAATTTTTTATTTCCTGGCTGATAAATCATAATTATTGCTTTAATTCGGCATGAAGTGTACAAATTACATAATTATTGCAATAAATACCCTAGTTGTTCATTACAGCAGATTCTCGATTTTGCTTGGCTAAGAGCAACAATCAAAAATTTAGGCTGAAATTGCTCGAAATTTTGCCAATGAAATCACATTTGCCTATTAAGTAAAAAACGTTCTTGAACTAATTTTACATAGTGGAAGCCTATTTCCCTAAAATTTATACTGTATTTTTGGTGTGACAGTTAAGGTGTTTTATTGTAAGATACTAAAAGACAAGTATGCTTTATCTAACAATCAAGCATTTTTTGTCAATTATTTGCAATACAGAATTATAATAATAATAATATCCAATTTTAATAATTTTTATTTTATTTTAATTCTATAAACTTACAGAATTAAAATAAAAAAAATATTAATCGAATTTAAATCAATGATTGTTGAGAAATCAAAAAAAAAAAAAAAATTTTACCAAAATTCGAATTTTTTTTTTTTATTTTAATTACAGCAATTAGTTATAGAAAGTTTTCAAAACAATCTAATTCTGGTCAAATTTACAGATCGTTTGGCCTACTGGGGCTGAGTTTAAAACTCATCCCCAATAGGCCAAACGATCTGCAAATTTGACCAGAATTAGTTTGTTTTAAAATGTAGATCGGGATCTTCAATATTTTGATCATTTTGATTGGCTGTTTATAGCATGTGGCCCGAATTTTTTTTCACCTTGGCTAGGGTACTCTAATATAACATATAAAAATATAGCTGGTAGCTGACCGAACCTATCCCTATTACTATGTGCACCCAAACATTCTGTGCCAGATTATGTCGATACACAGTGTAACACGATATACTGTGTAGCTCGTACGTACGTACGTACGTATAAGTTTTTTTTTAAAACTTCTAGCGATGATTTCTTATTAACTACTTGATTAAATTCAGTAAAAAATTTTTTTATTTTATTTCTGTAGTATAGTTGAATTAAAATTTTATTGAATTTGGTTAGATAAGTCCTGAGTAATCTTCGTTCAAAGTTTAGGCATACGTAAAAAAAAAAGCCGCAGCCAAAATTTTTTGTAACTTTTAATTAATATATCTCAACATTTACCTATTCAATTTGGGAAACTTTTTTTTTTAATCCACCGCACTTATAATTTATTCAATAAATTTTTTTATATATAGTCAACTTTGTATAATGAAGTCTTTATAACGAACGCAAAAATTTCAAAATTATAATAGCTCGGTATAAAAAGTGCCATGAACAACTTAATATCATATTATAAACATAGTAATTTTTTATGGCGAACTTTTTTCTTCCAGAACCATTAATTCATTATAGAAAAGAGTTGACTTTAAATTTTTTTCACGATAATGAAAATAACTAATATTAAACATCCTTACGAAAATGAGAATAAGTGACGGAATTCTTATTTAATTAATAAAGAATTTTAACAAATATACTAGGTTTTTTTTTTTTCTCGCAAACTTTAAGATGATTTAAAGATAATATTAAAAGAATTTTAATGGAGTGAACATAAAACGATATGAACTTTTAGTTCTTATTATAAGTGTAAAATATAGTGTTATGTTGGTTTTTTGGCGAGCTTGCCAAAAAATTTTTTTTATACCGTATAGTTTGTATAATTAGTTTAAGCCATAACATTACAATTATATTCGAAAAAAATTTTATTGTACGTACATATTACCGGTAATAAAGATCCAATAACTATTTTTTGCTAGGCGACACTACGTAGGCTAACTAGTAGGTGTCCGGAGACTTCCCCTTTCCCAGCATGACCGACAAAAAAAAACTCAAGCACGTATATAGCTTTGAAGAGATTGTTACTCTGAATTACAAATATCGATATTAACCTTATGGCATTAATCTGGTATCAATAAAAATACTTTTTTGATTTACTTTTACAGATTGATATTTCTTTGTTTAATTACATGATATATATCAAATGATCATTTCATTAAACTGGATATATTGTTAAATGATTGATATCAGTTTATCAAGAGTCTGATTTATCGAAAGTTGACCGTATTGTCTATATGAAATTTTTTACACCTGATATTTTTCCATCTTTTCTGTATACTCCAATGATGAGTATATTATATTGTTTAATTTACTTATTAACTTACAAATACAGACTACTGCAGCCTGAACACCAATTAATGACTAGTGCGTCCACTTGATAAACTAAAAAGAAAATGGGTAACAGCTTTAGTAACAGTGATTCAAGTAACCCTTCAAGCGACGACTCAAGCTCTGAAAAAGGCTATAAAAGTTATAAAGAGCTCCTCACTTTTACTTGGTATGACACAATAAAAAAGAAACTAAAAGATAATTCACTGGACATACTATCTGAAACAGAGCTTGATAATTTGATAAATAGCCTTGGAGATGAAAAAATATTTCTAGATCGGTATCTCAACCTTAAAGAAATCTACAATGACGAAAATTTGCAACAAATCACTAAGGATTTGCAGAAATTACATGATTTTCAAGAAAATAATATTAAACCAAGCGTGGAAGAGGGAAGGAATCTGCTCAATAATCTATTGCAACTTAGGAGAAAATCCGACAAGTTCAATGTTTATTTGACTATTAGTAAGCTTTCGGATGGCCGTTCTGAGAGCCCATATCTTCGATTTTTAGCAAAGCACGTGCTTAGAAACGAATATGGAATGTTTCACATTGGTTTAGAAGTAGATGGAATTGTTTTGGAATGGGGAACTGGTGACGCTGGTCCTCACCTTATTTATCCAAAGATCTATGTAAATCGAAATAATATGATTGCATATATTCGTGTCAATTATGAATCAAATTTTAGTCAAGAATTTAATCAAAGAACTAATATATACTCACAACTTTGGAATACTTTATGTCAAACTTTTCCTGACCCTTTATCCATTATAACAACTACGTATAGAAAGTTATTAACTTTTGTTACAGATATTGGTGTTATCCCTTCCGAAAAATTACAAATTATTGCTCAAAAATGTGTGTTTTGGAACAAGAATATATATTACAATCCACTAAATCGTAATTGCCAACATTTTATCGATGGAATGCTTAAAGCACTTGGTCTAGAATTTCATCCTAAAGGCGAGTTCAAAAAATTTCTAGATCGAATTATTAAATATGCAGATGATAGCTTCTTATTCCAAGAGATAGAATTCTTTTCGAGACAAGACCTTGATCAATACGCCGATCAGAATTGGGATGAAATTCAAAATATTTGGGATAAAAGATTACTTTTGTGTTATTCAGATATGATGAAAGGTTTATATGAACTTGACAAAAATGACACAAATGATAAAAAGTCAAAATGGGGTCCTATGGAAAATCAAGAAAGATGGGATCGAAGAGAGTATGAGCTAAAACTGATTAGCGGTATAGTCAGCTGATATTCGCAATATCGCAATGACAGATAATAAATTCATGAGAATTGTTATTTTTTGGTTATTGTTTGTTATTGATATATATTTTTTCCCATACGCACTAGGCCAGAAGGGAGAAGATGTTTGTTAGTAAAAGGTAGTTAGAAAATATAATAGAACTAATTTTATGAGAGAAAGATTAGGAGAGTATTTTAAAGTTTGGTTTGAGGTATTGTGATATTTCTTAAAGTAATTAATTAATTAATTGTATATGTTCGCAATAAGTATTCTTGTTTAGAAATTTATAAGTTTTATTGTATAACTTTCTTATTCACGATAGTTTGATTGTAATAGTTATATATTGATATATGTTGTACGAGACAATCCTGATAAGAATTTTGTAATTTAGCTCAAATTATTACTAAATAAAATTAAAAATATCTTTGCTCTAAACCCTAATTCTAACACTAACGCTAAAACCCCAATTGCCAAAAAAAAATACAACCCTTTCATTTAGGTTAGCCTATAAAAAATGGTCGAAGTTGCAGTCATTTGAAAGTTTACTCGCCAAGTTTCTCGATAGTGTAGCTCGGATCTCCGGGAATCATAATTTTGGCCGCAGCCGAGTTCACGTGTATTAGCTGCAGCCTGTTTGTAGATCGATTACTATTTATGGTTTTCCCAGTTACGTATCGCATTTCTTAATACGTATGCATTAATGGGAGGTATAAGGGTTTATTAATTAACAGGGTATAGCACATTTCGGTGGTTTATTTATTTTATGGGTTATAAACTAGTTAAAGGATTATAGTAATTACTGTATTTGAATTTTATGAGAGTTCGTCGTTATCTCTCTTTAGTATATCACGTTTATTGTATTAAAATTTATCTATAAATAAAGGCAGGTATTGTTCAATCGATACAAATCAGTGTTCATTGAATTATCTATAATACATTAACTATAAATTCGTTAATTCCCTAACCCGATCCTATTGTTAAGAAGATCTTCGTTGATTGTTTCTTCAATAAAACCTATATTGTTACGCTGCCTGATTTTATCTTCATTTAGGTAAAATTTATTTCTTCGTTGGACTAACTTACTCCATTGTCGCTGGATTGTTGTGTTGTATCCCTACAGGTTGTGGATACTTGATTTCCTTGCATGTTTGTTCTGGAAGATTAGTTATTGATTCAACGTCGACCGTCACATGATATTGTTTGAAGAACGACCAAAGTCTTAGAACCATTCCACAGCCCAAATCTAAACGTCTCTTTCGATACGTTGTCTTGTTTGTTGTTTTTGTTTGAGTTTTAGTTAGATTAAGTTGGATTTAGTCGTCATTATGGTTACCTATTCCCAGCCTAACAATAGTAATTCTGCTAATTTTACATGGAAAATTGACTTTTGCATTAAAGTGGCAAAGATTTATAAATACAACTGTTAACTGAAATCGGTAAATCTACAGATAGTGTTGGAGGCAAAGATTTATAAATACAACTGTTAACTGAAATCGGTAAATCTACAGATAGTGTTGGAGACAGTACAAATTCATGTAATTGAGTTGTGATTGGTTAGTTAGCGGTTAAGGTAGATGGATTTTATATGATGTCATATGATTGCACTGTCTCTAAGAAATTCCGCAAACCAGAATAGACTGTTGTGCGACCGTGTGTTATCGCAATAGCAAGTTTTTTAACATAATTTTTTACATCACGAAATTTAATTAAAAAATTATTAAGGTTAGAATCAGGTTAGGGCCCGTATAGACTAAAGTTAGAAAGTTCTTATAGGTAAAATCGTTCCTCCTGACATTTTTCTTAATGAATCAAGACAAGTATGGACATTCATTTCTTATATTTTCACATTTTTTACTTTTTTTCTTCGCCAGTTGATTTGTAAATTCACAATTTTTTGATTGGTCACATGCAACGGAAATCTAGTGATGGCACTTGGCTATAACGGTTCCCTTATTTTAGAATCGATATTAATATACGGAAAGAAACATAATGTCAGGGTCGGGCGTGTATTATTGAACGTGAGCTTAATGTCATTGAACATATAAGTTTTGATTACTATGTGGCGATACTGATTTATTCCACGGTTCTTTATAATTCCATATTATTTTTTTTAATTAAAGCAGCATGTTTCATAAACTTAGTTCCTGATCTTACTCGCCTCTTTTTTTATTTTTACCTAGTGATTTTTTTTGACAATATATTAAAAAAGTCGTTAAGATATAAGAAGCATTAAACTACAATATTTATTCCCCGGTTCTTATTTATACTTCTATACTATTCCTTCTCGGTTATTGTCCAGATTTCGGATTCGGACTGATCCGGAATTTTTATAATTCTTTTTGATAATATATCTTTACTTTTTTTTAATGATATATGAAATTTTTTAAACTTTTTTAAACTATTAGAGTAACAATATGTAAAAGTTGCTGGCTAAAAAAAAAAAAAAAAAAAACGAAAGAGGTTTTGTGACCTGTAGTAAGCTAAACTTTATGAAATACGCAATTTTACTTTGAAGAAATAGTATAGAAGTATAATAGAACCGGGAATAAATCTTTTATTATCCACGAAGTGGACAATAACATATACATATTTAAAAGGGGAAATATGAAGATTTCAGATTCCGAACTCAAGACCTGGGAAACCCAGCATGACCACCAAAATCAGTTACATACGTAATCGTTATTTAAAATCTGGTATTCGTAATCCAGCAGATAACGACATGAAATTGTAAATACTCTAAATTTTTATTGCGTTAAAAAAAAGAAAAAGCCGCGTTATTCGAATTTATTAAGTGATCTTAATTGTCTAATTTTACATACTATAGCATAAATATTTATAAAAAGCATTTTTACTTAGTTTATGCCAGGTTTTTTAAAAGTTTTTTTTACCTGATTCGTGTCATCTACCATCTTTAAATTTTGATTCGGTATTTTTTTAACCATTCCATTTGCTGCAGAAAATTAGATACTTCTATTTATTATACTGTATAATCAATTCAATAAAAATAATAAATAAGCTAATCTCAAAGATTTTTTTATATTGTTCAATAATTTCCAATTAGTTTCATCATTTGATTCGTCGTTCTCTGCAATATTACTATTGTCAAGAGTCGTTGAATTAATTGTTATAGAAAGTTGTGCATTATCAAATTATATCTCACATATGGTTTTTTCAGCTTCAATTAATGTATAATATGAATTTCGTTGAACCCAAATTGAAAATTATTAATACATATCTGTAGAATTCGAATAAAAAAACTTTCATCGATTTAGTGCAGTGGTCATCGAGATAACTACGATCAAAAGTTTAAACACGAAATATAATTGAAAGCCCGATGACAAGTTTTCACTTGACAGCACTCATATTATGAACATCGTCATAAACGACTAATACATTACATCATATATTTTTAATCAAATTTTTCGATAAATGATTTTAACTCCGTGCGTAACTATTTTGGTGGTTCGTGAGATCTGGTAATATAGTATGGTGGAATAAATAGCTTTCTGCATATAAATTATTATACTGTATAACCCTTTTTTATTTTTTTTTAATTTGTAATATTGATTTAATTAAAACAATATGAACAATAAAAAAATTATAAAAGATCTGAAGAATATGATAATTATAAAATTAATCAGTAAAAATTTTCGGAGAACATATTTATCAGCCATTTTGCAAACTTGTGTTGGTATTGAATTATGTCATCCGCCTGTGTATGTTTTTCGTCCAACAAAATTTTTGGAGCAACATAAGGCAAAACTCTATAGATTTCCTTTTTCAAGTAGATTCTTTAAATCGTTTAATGTCTTTTAGTCAAACCAATTTGTCTTCCATGTCTATAGTTATACTTGCCGCACAAATCCAAAATTACTATAGTTTGAATTTGTCCACGCCCAAATCACAAATTAATCCCAAATTAATATCTCAAAAACTTTATTAATAATCTCTGTTAAAACAAATAGTATATATTCTTGCAAAATATTAAGAATACTTATTTGATTCACTCTTTAATAAATAGCAATTGTATTTTTGGAATTTGATAGTTGTCCGGGTTTCGCCAGCAAGTATACCTACCTGCTATAGCTGATTTAAAACATCAGATCAACTTAGTTTCGTTCTAAAAAATTTTACTTTATTTAAAAGATAAATACCGTATTTTCGTGTAATAACGCTCATGAGCGTTATTTCGAATAATGGTCCGAATTAAGCTTAATTTGGGCCAAAATTTGAAATTACACCCTTGCGCGTTATTACGCGAAAATACGGTATTTGTCATTTTGACCCATTTGTCCTTTAATTACTTGTTTGCTCAAATAATATTATGGATAAAAAAAGATATATATGAATAAGAGGTATAATTAAAATCTATTTGGATTAAATGCTTTTCTTTTTCGTTTTTTTTTAAATCAATTAAATAAAACTTGATAAATAGTCGAGATATAATGGCGTCTTGCTGATATTGTAAATATTGTAAATGCAACCTAATTCGCAAAGCTTCCAGCGGAACCTAGCAATTAACAGTCCCACATTCTGCTCGGTTGTACAATTAAGAATTATTTAACCACATAATAAACAAGTTATTAGTTCTATTATTCATTTAATTTATATATCTAGAAATGAAAATACACAGTGGCATTGCGAAACATTCCTATATCGGCATACTTTTGATAATTTATGAACATGCTATAAAAATCGCTTAACTTGACAGATGTTTGATCATTAATTAATACTTGATATTCGTATTTCTCAATAACAGCTCCATTTTAATAACAGTATCCTACTAATATGACCATTCTGCAGATTTTTGATAATAAATGTATGCCTGATTTCAACACTCTATTCTTATAGCAACGTATAGCGAACTTTAAATTATATAATAATTATAATGCAGATAGATTTTAATCAATGTTCATGTAGTAATATAAATAAAACTTGAACTTTATAAAATACTCTAACTACAGTACATGGTAACATAATGCCATCTCTTGAAACATTTAACATAAATTATGTTTTACACAATTCTTTATGTCAAATAAAAATGAACCTGTTTAAATTTTTATTTTCAATTTATTACCGTATATTAATTTTGGTCAAAGTAAAATAATTAAATCATAAAAATTAATTTAATGACTTAAAATATAGATTAACAAGCTCTGGATCTAAAACATAATAATTATAAAATTAGCCATTAAACATCAGTAAAGTTCTTGATAAAATTTCGAAACATATTACCTGTTATATTGCCTGACGTAACTTCGGCACTGAATCGTTGAGAAATTTCATTAGTATCAACAAACCGGCTTGTATACATACTATCTAAATTTTTTTGTGTCATTATTGGTAGTTGTTGAATTATGTCATCCGCTTCCCAGAATTTATTACTTATTTCTGATTTCTCATCTAATTCTTCTGATTCATCAAATGTATCTACTTCGTCGTCAGTATCAATTTCGTCAGCCGTATCCAGCTCATTCATAAAATTATACCATTTTGAAAATTCATCAAATAACATTTTCGCAGTAGGCCGTTTTTGTGGGTTTGAATTCATACATGATTCTGTTAATTTGATATAGCATTCAGGTGTTCCTGGCGCAAATTTCGGTCTTAATCCTCTACAAATTTTTAAAACTAAATCATTATTAAACAAATAACCATCAAATGGTGGAATCCCTGTGGTTATTTCTGCCATAACAACTCCAAACCCATATATGTCTGCTGCTTGTGAATATTGTTCGCCTGACAAAATTTCTGGAGCAATATAAGGCATAACTCCACAGATTCCTTTTCATAATGTAGATTCTTTGTTATTTCGAGACAATCCCAGATCTGCAATATATGACTTTACTATTATTTCAAGCCATGATTCCTCTTTATGCTGCAGAATATTACCACTGTGAAAATCACAATGAATATATCCTGCCTCATGAATTTGAACCAAATCATTTGATATATCTCTTAAGCGGAATAATTTATCTTTCCATGTAAGTTTTTTGAAATTTAGCTTCAAATAATGACGAAGGTTTCCACTATTTGCATATTGAAACACCATTAAATATTGGTTTTTAGCAGTATTTTGAGCTACCCCATATATTTCAAGCCTGCTGCCTGTCAATCTGCATTTCATATGATTTTTAAACTTATTAAATAAAAATAATAGTTTTTATAGTAGATGCGCAAAATTAACCAAAATTAATTAACCTACATACTTCTTGTAAAAGTTCAGTAGAATCTGTTTGAGAACCGGGTAAAGTTTTAAGTGCGACTATAATTGGTTCCGTACGTGACTGTATATAATCCTCTCCATCATATATAGTTTTTCGTTTGCCATCTAACCAGGTTGCTGAAAATACATCTCCGAATCCTCCCTGAGCAATCATTTGAATACTATCCAACCTATTGAAAGGAATCCATTCAATTACTTTTTCATACTCTGTAGCTTCAAATTGAAATTCTTGAATGCAGCTATCGATATCCTTGTTTTCAGTTGTCCATCCTTTAGCTGCTTTCCAAGGATCACATGATTGGCACCAAGTTTTTGAAGTATTAAAGCGTTTGCAATCCGTACATTTTCCATAATTAGATTTTCTTTTAAGAGCATATATATCATCATGTGTCTCAAATACTATCATAAATTCATTAGTAGTTGTATTCTGTGTAAGTCCAAATAATTTAAAATTATCGTTATTAGTTGACTGTAAATATTCCTCAACCTTAAAAATAAATACAATGGAAATTATATAAATATAATAAAATATATTTATAATAATAATATTATTAAAATATTAACTTACTTTCTTTAAGAATTCAAAGGAATTTATTCGTAAACTAGAAAAAGTCATAAGTGTAATTTTATGATAAGGTATACGTGACCGTTTGTATTTTCCATCAACTTTAGAAACTGATCGTATACCATCTTTCCAGACTGCCGAAAATCTTATATTCAAGTCTCCTTCACTAATTTTCCGTATGTTTTCAAGTTTGTTAAATGGAATCCACTCAATAGTTTCATCATACTTTGTAGCCATAAATTGAAAGTTTTTAATATAATTATCGATATCGTTATTTCCACTTGTCCACCCTTGTGTTGTCCTCAGAGGATCACATGTTTGGCACCAAGCTGGAGAAGTATACTCGTTCTTACATTGTGCGCATCGTTCTTCACGACAAAATTGATCAAATACTATCATATATTCATAGGTATATGGATTTTGAGTAAATCCAAATAATTTAAAATTGTAAGCTGACTGTCTATATTCTTTGACCTTAGAAATAAATATTTTGGAGTTTTATATTATTAATACTGTAATTATATAATAGATATTAGCTAAACTTACTTTTTTTAGAAAATCAATAGAATTTGTTTGTAAATCAGAAAAACTCATAAGTGAAACTGAACATCGAGGTATACGTGATTGTGTGTAGTTACCCTCAACTTTAGAAGCTAATGGCATGCCATCTACCCAGACTGCTAAATTTTTTATATTTAAGTCTTCATTAATTTTCTGTTTATTTTCAAATTTCCTAAATGGAATCCACTCAATAATTTCATCATATCCCGTAGCCTCCAGTTGAGATTTTTTAATATAATCATCGATATCCTTATTTCCACTTGTCCATCCCTTTGTTGTTTTTTCGGGATCACATGATTGACACCAAGCTGATGAAGTGTTGTATCTATTACATTGTACACATTGCCCGTTATAAGAAGCTCTTATAATATAAAACTCATCAAATACTATCATATATTCACATGTGGATGGGTTTTGCGTAAATCCAAATAATTTATAGTAACTAATTGGCTGAAAATATTCCTCAACCTGAGAAATAAACATGATAGAATTTATGTTAGTATATATAAGATATATTAATAAAGTTGTATACATTAAAATACAAACTTGAATTTACTTTCTTTAAAAAATCGACAGGATTCATTTGTAAATTAGAAAAGGTCATAAGTTCAACCGTATATCGAGGCATACGTGATTGTATGTATTGTTCTACACATTTAGAAACTAATCGTATGCCATCTACCCAAACTGCTAAAGATTTTGTATCAAAGTTTTCATTAATTTTCTGTATGTTTCCTAATTTATTAAAGGGAATCCACTCAATAACATCATCATAATTTGCAGCCTTAAATTGAAATTTTTTAATATAATTATCGATATCCCTATTTCCACTTGTCCACACTTGCGCTATTCCTGGGGTATCACATGTTTTGCACCAACCTGGAGAAGTGTTATATTGATTACAATATGAACACAATCCATTATTAGGAGATCGTTTATGATAAAAGCCATCAAATACCATCATATATTCAGAGGTGGATGGGTTTTGAGTAAATCCAAATAATTTACCATCACTTGACTGTACATTATAAACATTAAAATAAATGTAAATATAAATTTTGATTAATTAGTGTTGCGGTATATTTATAAAAATATTAGCTTACAATCTCTGAAAAGGTATCAGAATTTATTGATGAACTAGGTAAAGCCTTAAGCATCACAGTGTACGGTAGTGTACGTGATTGTGTGCATCGTCCATTATCTTCAGAAACTAATCGCACACCATCTTTCCAGACTGCTAAAAAGCCTGTACCTGTAAATAAATTTATCCAAAAGCTTGAATAAAATTTTTCTTCAGTAATTTTTCCGTAACTAATTTCCTGTACGTTTTCTAATTTATCCACTCAATAGTCTTATCATATCTTGTGGCCTCAAGTTGAAATCTTTTAATATAATCATCGATCCCCTTATTTCCACTTGTCCACCCTTGTGCCATTCTTGCGGGATCACATTCTTGGCACCAAGCTGGAGAAGTGTTATATCTCTTGCATTGTATGCAATTTCCGTAGTTCCGACTCTCTTCTGATAAATTCATTGTTAAATTAATGATTAAAAACGAATAACTTTTTCGGGAGTTGTGGACTGAAATATGTAAACATTCTGTCCAGGTTATGTCGATACAGCAGTGTAACACGATATGCTGTGTAGCTATGTATGATGATAAACATAACCCAAAATTCTCAAGTTGAATTTTTTTTAAAACTACTAGCGATGATTTTTTAATAAACTATTTGATTAAATTTTAATTCTATAGTATAGTTGAATTAAATAAAAAAGGAAGTTTATTGAATTTGATTTAGTAGTCGTCGAGAAATCATCGTGAAAAGTTTAAAAAAAAAAAAAAAAAATCGAAATTTCTTTCTTTGAACTTTAAAAAGATTTCATATTCAAATTTGATCAATTTTTTATTTTATTTAATTTTGTGGGTTCATAGAATTAAAATAAATATTTTTGATCAAATCTAAATAGCTGGTTGTTGAGAAATATTTATTAAAATTAAAGAAAGTTTGGTTATAGTTTAAGATATCAAAACTTTAAATGAAGATTACTTGGGGCTTACCTGGTCAAATTCGATCAACCCTTTTTTATTTTAATTCTCTAATTTTATAGGATTAAAATAAAAAGAATTTGATCGAATTTGGTTAAATAAGTCCCGAGTAATCTTTAGGTATACGTTAAAAAAAAAGCCGCAGCCAAATTTTTTTTAACTTTTAATCAATGTATCTCAACATCTATTCAAATTTGTTACCTTTTTTTTTAATCCAATGAACTTATAATTTATTTTTATATATAGTCAACTTTGTATAATGAAATCTTTATAACGAACTCAAAAATTTTAAATTTTATTATAGTTCAGTATAAAAAGTGCTATGAATAACTTAATATCATATTGTAATTTTTTATTGCGAACTTTTTTTCTTTAATTCGTTATAGAAAAGAGTTAACTGTGATTTTTTCATGATAATGAAAATAACTAATATTAAACATCCTTACGAAGATGAAAATAAGTGTCGGAATAGTTATTTAAATAATAAAGCATTTAAACTAATATACTGTACTAGATTTTTTTTTTCTTGTGAACTTTAAGATAGTATTAAAGAAATTTAATGAGTGAGAATAAAATGATATGTACTTTTAGGTCTTTTTTATAAGTGTAAAGTATAGTGTTAGGTTTTTTGGCGAATTTGTCAAGGTTTTTTTGTACCGTATAGTTTGTATAATTATTTTAAGCCATATCAGAATAAAGACCCGACTACTATTTTTTGCTATGCGACGCTACGTAAGCTAACCAGTAGGTGTAAAATTTCAGAACTGGTAGGCATCTGGAGACGTCCTTTTTCCCAGCATGACCAACAAAAAATCTCCGGCATGTGTATAGCTTTGTAGAGATTGTTGCTCTGAGTCACCAATATCGATAATAACCTTATGGCATTAATCTGGTATCAATAAAAAATATTTTTTGTGATTTACTTTTACAGATTGATATTTCTCTGTTTAATTCCATGATATATATAAAATGATCATTTCATTAAACTGGATTTATTGTTAAATGATTGATATCAGTTTATCAAGAGCTGATTTATCGAAAGTTGACCGTATTGTCTATAAGAAATTTTACACCTGATATTTTTCCACCTTTTTCTGTATACTCAAATGATGGGTATATTATATCATTCATTTACTTAATAACTTATAAATACAGACTACTGCAGCCTGAAAAAATTAATGACTACGTAGTGCGTCCAATTAACAACACCACTTAATAAACTAAAAAGAAAATGGGTAATAGCTTTAGTAACAGTGATTCAAGTAACCCTTCAAGCGACAACTCAAGCTTTAAAAAAGGCTATAAAGCTTTATAATTCACTGGGCACACGATCTGAAACAGAGCTTAATAATTTGATAAATAGCATTGGAGGTGAAAAAATATTTCTAGATCGGTATAAGAAGTCTACAATGACGAAAATTTGCAGCAAATCACTAAGGAATGTTTCGCATTGGTTTCGAAGTAGATGGAATTGTTTTGGAATGGAGTACTGGTGCCGCTGGTCCTCATCTTATTTATCTAAAGATCTATGTAAATCGAATAAAAAATAATATGATTGCATAAATTTAGTGTCAATTACAATTCAAATTTTATCCATTATATCAACAATATATAAAAAGTTTTGTTACAAATATTGGTGTTATTCCTTTCCAAAAATTACAAATTATTGCTCAAAATTCGTGCTTTATATCTTACAATCCACTAAATCACAATTGCCAACATTTTATTGATAAAATGCTCAAAGCACCTGATTTAGAATTTCATCCTGAAGGCGAATTCAAAAATTTTCTGGACAGAATTATTAATTATGCAGATGATAACTTCTTGTTCCAAAAGATAGTTTTCTTTTTGAGAGAGGAGCTTGATCAATATGCTGAACAGAATTGGGATAAATTCAAATATTTGGGATAAAAGATTACTTTTGTATTATTCAGACATGATGAAAGGTTTATATGTACTTGGCAAAATTTCAAAAAGGGTCATATAGAAATAAAGAAAGATGAGAACAAAGAGAGTATGAGCTAAAAACTGATTAGCGTTATAGTTAGCTGATATTCACAACATTACACTAACAGATAATAAATTCATGAGAATGGTTATTTTCGGTTGTTGTTTGCGATATATATTTTTTTTGTACCCACTAGGCTAGAAGGGAGAAGATGTTAGTTAGTAAAAGGTAATTAGAAAATATAATAGTTAATTTTATGAGAGAAAGATTAGGAGAGTATTTTAAAGTTTGGTTTGAGATATTGTAATATTTCTTAAAGTAATTATTTAATTGTATATGTTCGCAATAAGCATTCTTTTTATCTAAAAATTTATAATTATTATTGTATATCTTTCTTATTCACGATAGTTTGATTTAATTGTAATAGGGGGTTTCAGAATTAATGATTCGGCGTCCAATTTCAGATAAAATAAGTGCCGTATTTATTTCAAAATAAGCAACTTACAAATTCTATTTTTTTCAAAGTATGTACTTATTTACATAATCGTTTACCGATGAATGTTTACCAAAAAATGCTAAATTTTATCACCGGCTATGCCTATTTAATTTTCTGATCGGAATTTTAAAAAAGAAAATAGGACTTTTAAACTCTCACTTATTTTAATTCTGAAACCCCCTAATAAGTATATATTATATGTGTTGTACCCCAAATTGGAATCATTCCGATAAGAATTATGTAATTTAGCTCAAATTATTACTAATTAAAATCAAAAATTCTTTGCTCTAAACCCTAATTTTAAATATGTAATAATTTTTCTAATAAATAATTGTCCTGGCCAATCTGCAATTATTGGAATTAGCTAACTCTAAAACCCTAATTTGCAAAAAAAAAAATCCAAACCTTTCATCCAATCGTTTAATGTCTTTTAGTCAAAACAATTTGTCTTTCCATGCCTATAGCTATACTTGCCGCCCAAATCCAAAATTACTATAGTTTGAATTTGTCCACGCCCAGATCCCAAATTAAATTAATACTGTATCTCAAAAAAAGTTTATTAATAATCTTTTTAAACAAATATTCGATATTCACAAAATATTAAGATTACTTGCTTGACTTAATCTTTTATAAATAGCAATTGTATTTTGGAATTTGGGATTTATCCGGGTTTTGCCAGTAAGTATGCCTATAGCTGATTTAAAACATCAGATCACCTTAGTTATTATAATTTCGTTTTTTTACAAAAAATTTTTACTTTATTTAAAAGATAAATATTTGAGAATTTAACACACTAGTCCTTTAATTACTTGTTTGCTAAATATATATGGATAAAAAAAGAAAAAGTTAAATATAAATAAGAGGTATAATTTAAACTTATTTAGATTAAGTGATTTTGTTTCCTTTTTTTTTTAATCAATTAATGAGACTTAATAATAGCGTATTGTTGGTAATGTAAATGCAGCTAATTTAGCAATCAACAGTCAAATTTTTATTAATATTATGTGACAAATTCTTATTAATTTTAATATAAAAATCTGCGGAAGTAACATAAAATTCTTCCCATAAGTGTATACGTCATACCTTCTAAATAAATTAGTTATCTGGCATGATATACGGATCATAGACATCGACAATATAATTGCAACGCACGAGGCCTTCGGTTACTATTATCCTGCCGATACCCACGTATCCATCAAACATACCAAATAACAAGAAATTATACAATTAGGAATTATTTAGCCACGTAATAAACTAGTTGTTTGTCATATTATTTATTTAAATTTATACCTTAAATGAAATTTACAATTGCATAAAGAAATGAAACCAAAATTAAATATGATTCCATTGTGACATTGCACAACATTTTCCATATCAGCAGACTTTTGGTTATTTAGAAAATGCTATAAACTGATAAGTATCACCTAACTATTCTAACACATGGCATGGTAACTGCAAAAAAGTATAAAATCCTAATAAGATTGATGGTGCTTCGCGCCATCAATGTAATCTTAATGACATCTCTTGAAACATTTGGCGTAAATTACGGTTTGCGCAATTCTTTATGTCCAATAAAACAAATCTGTCTAAAATTTTTTATTTCAATATATTACAGTATATCAATTTCGGTCAAAGCAATATGATTAATAAAATAGTTAAATTATAAAATTTAATTTTATGACTTAAAATATAAATCAACAAGCTCTGGATCTAAAGCATGATAATTATAAAATTAGTCCTTTAAATATCAGTAAGTTCTAGATAAAATTTCGAAGCATATTACCTGTTATATTGCCTGACTTAACTTCGGCACTGAATCGTTGAGAAATTTCATTAATATCAACAAACTGGCTTGTATATACACTATCTAAATTTTTTTGTGTCATTATTGGTGGTTGTTGAATTATGTCATCCGCTTCCCAGAATTTATTACATATTTCTAATTTTTCATCTAATTCTTCTGATTCATCAAATGTATCCACTTCGTCGTCAGTATCAATTTCGTCAGCTGTATCCAGCTCATTCATAAAATTATACCATTTTGAAAATTCGTCAAATAATATTTTCGCAGTAGGCCGTTTTTGTGGGTTTGAATTCATACATGATTCTGCTAATTTTATATAGTAATCGGGTGTTCCTGGTGCAAAGTTAGGTCTTAATCCGCCACAAATTTTTATAGCTAAATCGTTATTAAACAAATAACCATCAAATGGTGGAATTCCAGTGGTTATTTCTGCCATAACAACCCCAAAACCATATATGTCAGCTGCTTGTGTAAATTTTTCGCCTAACAAAATTTCAGGAGCAATATAAGGTAAAACTCCACAGATTCCTTTCCTTGAAGTAGATTCTTTATTATTTCGTGACAATCCCAGATCTGCAATATATGACTTTATTATTTTTTCAAGCCATAATTCCTCTTTATGTTGCAAAATATTACCACTGTGAAAATCACAATGAATATATCCTGCCTTATGGATTTGAATTAAATCTTTTGATATATCACTTAAGCGTAATAATTTATCTTTCCATGTACGTTTTTTTAAAATTTAACCTCAAATAATGACGAAGATTTCCACTATTCACATATTGAAGCACCATTAAATATTGGTTTGTGGCATTATTTTGAGTTAATCCATATATCTCAAGTCTACTGCCTGTGAATCTACATTTCATATGATTTTTAAACTTATTAAATAAAAATAATTCGCGTAAATACTTTTATATTAGACACGCAAAATTAATCAAAAATTAATTAACTTACTTCGTGTAAAAATTCAGTAGAACTTGTTTGAGAACCGGGTAAAGTTTTAAGTGCGACTATATTTGGTTCCATACGTGACTGTATATACTTCTCTCCATCATAAATAGTTTTTCGTTTGCCGTCTAACCAAGTTGCTGAATATACATGTCCGAATCCTCCTTGTGCAATCTCCTGAACACTATCGAACCTGTTGAAAGGAATCCATTCAATTACTTTTTAATACTCTATAGCTTCAAACTGAAACTCTTTAATACAACTATCAATATCATTATTCCCACTTGTCCACCCTTTAGTCGCTTTCCACGGATCACATGATTGACACCAAGCTTTTAAAGTATTGAAGCATTCACAATCCGTACATTTTCCATAATTAGAATTTCTTTTATGAGGCTTCTCGAATACTATCATAAATTCATTTGTAATAGTATTCTGTGTTATCCCATATATTTTAACTTTATTCTTGTTTAGTTGTATGTAATTTTTAAACTTTAAATAATTTTAGTATACTGTATATTCAAAAAAATAAAAATAAAAGCAAAAAAACAACAATCAATAATCGTTCAAACTTACTTCCTTTAAGAAGTCAATAGGATTCATTTGTGAACCAGGAAATGTCTTAAGTGTAACTAAATATGATGGGATGTGTGATTGTGCAGCATTTGAAACTGTTCGTATCCCATCTAACCAAATTGCTGAAAGCTCTGTGCCAAACATTTTCTCACTTATAATATCCAATCGATCAAAAGGAATCAATTCAATAGCCTCACCATATTTTATAGCTCTAAGTTGAAGTTCTTTAATATAATTGTCAATATCCTCATTTCTGCTTGTCCATCCTTGCGTTGTTCATGGGGGATCACACGTTTGACACCAAGCCAGAAATGTGTTATATCGTTTACAATGTTTGCATAATCCATTATAGGAAGTTCTATTATCATGAAACTCTTCAAACACTATCATATATTCACGGGTGGATGTATTTTGAGTAATTCCAAGTAATTTACACTTTTCTCCTTCTAGCCGGATATAATCTTTAAACTTAATAAATAAAGACGTGTATCATTAATGTTAATAATAAACAATGGTTAGCAATAATCATATTTTTAGCTTACTTCTTTTAAAAAATCATCAGAATTTATTTGCAAATTGGGGAAAGTCTTAAGCCCAATCAAGCATGATCCTATACGTGATTGTGTATATTTTCCATTGTAATTCAAAACCAATCGTATGCCATCCAACCAGATTGTACACTAAATTCCCTTTTACCAATATTGCTTAATCTATCAAAAGGAATCCACTCAATTGCCTCATCATATCTAATAGTCTCAAGCTGAGATCTTTTAATGTAATCGTCGATGTCCTTATTTCCGCTTGTCCATTCTTGTGATATTCTTAGAGGATCACATGTCTGGCACCATGTTTATACATGTGCGCCTAAATTATTTTTGGCTTGCCGTAAATAAAAATTGCCTAAAATATTTTAGGCGCCTAAACCGTAAATAATATCGGCTGCCTAAAATATTCCGGCTGCCTAAAATATTTCCGGCTGCCTAAAATATTTCCGGCTGCCTAAAATAATTTCGGCTGCCTAAAATAATTTCGGCTGCCTAAAATTGTACTGCTGTTTTCATAAATTCTGGGACACTCTAAAAAAATTTGCCGAAGTTTATTCGGCTGAATTCTTTAAGTTATTGATTTCGGTA